AGGCAATGCAGTGGTAGAAGGTACAGCAGAGGAGAAGCACCTCATGGCAAAGAAGGCAGGAAGCAACACAGCTACCATGTTCTCCCCTTTTTATTCCATTCAAGCTGTAAGCCTATTTGTTTGTTTCACCCTCATCCAGGTTAGGTCTTTTCTCTTCTTAAATCGATCACCAGCACACCCAGAGCAGTGGTAAACTGATCAGTGGACTGACCTGGTATCACCCACATTGATCCAGTCACTCCGTAAGTCTCACTCGTGAGAACATGAGACTGTGCGGGCAGACACTGAGGTATAAGCCATGAACAGTGTGGAAGACAAATTGAGAAAAGGTATACTGTACAGTGTGATGGGGTGATTAGAGATTTAGACACATGAGGGAGAAGGAGAGAAAGGAAGAGAGAGAAAGAGAGAGAGATGGAGGGAAAGAGCCATGAAAAGAATGGAGAGAACAGAAAACTGATAAGTGGCCATGAAGTACTCACTCCAGATACGTGTGTGGAAATCCACTGACTACCATTAATCTATACAGTATACATATGTTTCCAGCTATTAGCATTTGATAGAATATCAGCAGCCATGGGAGGCTTTGGTTCCAGAGAAGATTACTTCTGTAATCAGAAGACTTCCAACTAATTCGGACAAGTTTAGAGAAGCTGGAAGGAGAAGGCCTGGGAGGCTGTAATTAGACTTTCTAGTTACTAGAAGGCCTGGGAGGCTGTAACTAGACTTTCTCTCTCTTCCCCTCTCTCCTTCTTCCCTCACTTCTCTAAATCTCTAATCACCCCATCACTCTGTACAGCATACCTTTTTTCAATTCGGATTTCACAATGCTCATGGCTTATACCTCAGGGTCTCCCCCCAAAGTTCATGCTCTCGTGAGTAAGACTTAGGGGAGTGACTGGATCAGTGTGGGTGATACTGGGTCTAGTACCTCGATGGAAGATTCTGGGTGGAGTTCAGAGGACAGGCATGCTGAGAGAAATGTGAGCAACTAAGCATGGCCTTAAGGGGGAGGATTCCTAAGTGCTTCATCTGTTGACGGATCCCCGATGCCCAACAACTGAAGAATGGATGAAAAGATGTGGTATTTTTACATAGTGGAGTATTATTATTATTTAGCTAGAAAGCAGCACAAATTTGACTCTTTTGTCTATAAATGCATGCAACTGGAGAACATACTCTTAAGTGAAATAAATCAGACCCACATGTGCAGATGCTGTATAGTCTCTTTAATGTGAGAACTTGAAAGGGAAAAATGGAATCTGAAAGGTACAGTAGACACTGGGAAAAGGGAATGAACTTATTCAAAAGTGAAGAGTCGCTGAGCTGAGGAGAATGAGAAGAGAAGGAGTGGGGGAAAGAGCTTTATCGAGGTGTGCAAGCAGGGTGGTTTGGACAACTGTACTGTGCACTTCTGCTGCTCTATGGAAGGGAGAAAATAATATTGAATTTTTTCTTGTCCACTTGTTCAATTGTTTGTAGTTTTTCTCTTCTTACTTTCTTATGCATTTCTTTCTTTTTCCTTTCTTCTTCTAATTTTACATGCATACATCTCGTAATAAGAATCACTGCTTGGAAGAGAACACTATGTATTACAACAAATACTGTGAAGATCGTATTACTTCATTAAGTGAAATTCTGAATCTGTTGTAACTTTTTCTGTGTTAATTCTAATTTTTACTCTCTTTACAAAGTTAAAACATTGTAAAGAGTAGCTCAGGAGGCTTCAGCCTAAAACAAGAATTTCACTGACAACCAGACAAGGGGACACACATGCTACAATGTGGCAGAACAGTTCTTCTACATTTAGCGCCTGCCCCAAGACAAACTTGTGAGCCAACAGTGGCGTAGGGTGCGTGTCAGAGACAGGAACATGAGAATAAGGGTGGGGAAAGGCTTGGGGTGGTGGGTGAGCCAGAAGGGATCTCAGCACTCAGGCTGTGGGCTGGATAACTCTGGCTGCGTTTTCATGTACACATAATTCTGTTCTTTTATTTTTATACCTTTTCACTGCTAAACATTTGCCTTGAATCTTAAAAGAGAATTTGAGTTCAGCTTTTGGGAACTGGCTCAACTGTGGAATCTGCGGGGGGAAGCTATGGTTGCGTTTTCAGCTGCATGCGAGACAAATGCATCACACGCCGAATGATGATGATTAATTATGATGCTCATTTGGAAATTATTTGTGATTTAAAAAGATTTGATTCCAATTGAGCAGGCCTTCTCTACCAGTGTCGTTGCCTTTGCCCAACCAGCATTGGACCGATGATGCAGATAACTTCAGACAAAATAAACTGTCAGTTTAAGTTGGATGTGTACAATATTGCATACCAGAGATGACAATGAATAATGCACAGTGCATCTGCAGCATAATTGTGTGCCTGGAAAGCACAAGTTCCTGAGTTTGATCCCCACTACCAAAAAAGAGAAAAGAAAAGAAAAGGAGTTTCTACACAAAATGAGAGCTTTGCCCTTAACGCCACAGGAAACCCTCGCTCTATGGCCCCAAGCCAGGGCTCGCCCTCCCACTGCGCTTCTGCTTGGGCTGCCCTGGGTGGGTTTTCTAGTCAGCAGGTGGGGTGTGGTACATCCCCACAGTGCCCAATCATGTAGTCTCTGCTGGGCGACTTCCAGGGCATGAGAGTTTCAGAAGCTCGCCTGGCCTGCATTGCTTTCAATAAGGAAAGAGTGACCTCGCCTCAGGGCTCTGGGCGGGAATTTGAGAAAGAGGCCCCTCAGCATGGGCAGGGCAGAATATGACCTCTACTGAATTAGGCTTGAGACCATGAGTAATAAACAGAGCAGGAATTTGGTGTCATAGAAATTAGTTTCCAAATATTCCCGAATAATACACTATTAAAATGAATATAGCTGGAAGCTGTGCTTCATGCTCGTAATTGCATCTGCAGGCAGTTGAGGGAGAAGAATTGCAAAGTGAAGCCCAGCCAGGGGAACTCAGAAACTCATTGCCAGGTACCTGTATTAAAACAGGCTTCATAGCACAGCAAAAATAAAACTAAATATAAATGAATAATTGAGAAATAACTCTGAGTATGTAAAAGGCTGGGATTGGATGATCAAAATTTGAACCCAGCTTGAGCAAGTGGGTGATTAGTGGTAACCAACCTTCAAATTGAAAATGAAAACAAATGGGCTGCCGTTATGGTTTGTGTCTAATTGCGCCCCCAGAGACTCATGCAGTCATGGGGTGGGATTTCTAGAGGTTGTGATGATGATCCCATTCTGAGATTATGGACGTGCGTGCTGCTTGGATTATGGGTGTGAGCGCGAGGTCACCTTGAGGCCGATAGCCTGGATGGAGAATAAGAGAGGGAGAGAGGCTTGCCCACGGCCACCGCTGGCACCGCCCCTGCCTTTGTGTTCTTCCGTCTGGCTGTCTTCCGCCTTCATGAGCTGCTGCCCACGTGCAAGTGCCCGTCTGCCTTGCAGCCAGCCGCGTGTGGTTTGAAGCCCGCATGATTGTGAGCTAAATAAACCCTTCCTTCCTTAATTTTGGATATGACGTATTTTGTCCCAAGAACAAGAGAAAAGTAAGCAAGACATCTGGGTATGTTGCACTTAGAAGATTCTAGACCTTCTCTTATCACCCTTCCCAAAACAAGAGAGAACTTGGTAAGCCTGAAGATGCACTGAACCAATCTGGCACACATGTGTGTGTTGGGCATTTATTATGATTACATTTAAGTGACAAATTAAAAGATAAATACAGGATTGGGGTGATTTTCTTTTTATTGCTTTTATTCAACTCCATCACAAAAACATGCTCCTCATCATGCCATCATTAGTGAGATGACTTCCTCTATCCTTCTACCTGAGGCATTCAGAGTCACCTCAGCTGACAGGGATACAAGCAGATGGTGCTTAAGGCTGTAAGTCACTCACAGTCCAGCGCTCTCTAGAACCCCTGCTCCCCCGAGATCACCAGCGTCTTCCTGTCACCCAGACTCCAGACTCTGCTCTGCTGCTCCCAACACAGGCAGTGCACAGGGCAGCTGGGCCTCTGAGCTGAGGGGTTTCTGTTCAGGGCTGCATCACTGTGGGAGGCACATGTGTAGCTTGCATGCAGTAATACACTCCAGCGTCCTCGGCCTGCACGCTGCTGATTTTCAGGGTGAAGTCTGTGCCTGCCCCACTGCCACTGAACCTGTCTGAGACCCCAGAGAACCTGTTGGAGACTCGATAAATCAGGAGCTTTGGGGCCTGGCCTGGCTTCTGCAGGAACCAACGCAGATAGGTGTTCCCATCGCTACCCAGGAGGCTCTGACTGGACCTGCAGGAGATGGAGGCCGGCTGTCCAGGGGTGATGGACAGTGAAGGTGGACTTTGGGTCATCACTACATCCCCACGAGTGCCTGAAACATGAGAGAGAAGTTCAATGTCATGGAAAAAAATTTTTAAATCATTTTCATCGTAGTCTTTCCTGTGTTTTATTTAGGTTACATAGTATTTGTGATTTTGATGTGCATACCAGAAACATTTAATTTTTAAAAAGTAATGCACAGTTCATGCCCTCGAATGTCCTGTCTGTCAGAGTCTTTACTCATGCCCAGGCTGGGTCCCTGCACTGCCCCTTCTAACCCCCACAGATGGAAGCAGCACAGGCGCCCTCCTGCAGGGGAAGCAGCCTGCCCTTCTCCTTCACAGAGCTCCCCTGGGCAGCACTGGGGCCCTGGAGCTCTCCTCTCCCCACCCCTCCTCAGCACCCTCTGTCCTCACCAGGGATCCAGAGCAGCAGCAGCCCCAGGAGCTGGGCAGGGGGCCTCATCCTGAGCTGACTGAGGAGCCCTGGAGAGGCAGGCAGGATGCAGGGAGCTTTTACCTCAGCCTGGCAGGGCGGGCCCTCCCCAGGGGGCACCATGCAAATCCCTCCTGCTGCAGCTGTGTGAAAAAAACCAGCTCAAAGTGGAAGGGACATCAGAAGGACCTCACCTGTGATCAAAATGACACAGAACATTGTGGGTTTCAGGAAACGCTCAGCCATTCAAGTGTTGGCTTTTCTTTAAGAAGAATGAGTTTTCACATATAGCTGGAGACTGCTATTTTTTTGTAGATATTTGTTAGGTGTAGTACTTTATCTTGTTAAAAGATAATACACATATACTGTACAGAGCAAGATGTATAATGTGCAACAAATAGAATTTTTTATTTATTCATGATTGTTATAAAACTATACAATTAAATATCAAATTCCCCATGTGGAGACTGGGCATGGTGGCATGCTCCTCTAATCCCACCACTTGGGAGGCCAAAGACAGGAAGATTTTCAGCCACAGTACAAGTTTGATCTGTGCAGTAAAACCCTGTAGAACCTGCATTTAAAAAAAAAGAATCAAAATAATTACCCATGTGCTTCTCAGCCCCTTGGTACAGATTTTTTAAAGACAGATTAATTTGTGTGCCCTTAAGTGTGTTTTCTTTTAATTATTGATTCCTAGTGCGTCTAATCCAGTTTGGTTGATTTTCTAATTTGCATCTCTGCTTCCTGCCTCTCTGTCCAGGGCAGAACAGCCAGCCACGGGGCACCTTGGTCAGACACCATGAGCTGCTGCCGCCCCTGCTGTCCTGTGTGCGGGGAGGAGCGCCTGGGAAGTGCGGCTGCTGCTGCCTCTTGTCCATTTGCTGAAGAGCTGTTTTGAGTCTCTCTCTCACGTATTGCATAAACCTTCAGTATTGAGCGCAGTAACTCTATGGCCCTGTCATTTCCATAAACACACTCTTAACTCCCTGGCTGGGCTGTTTCTCGTACCCACTTTGGCTGTTACCTGGACAGTACCTCCATGCCCTTTTCCTGATCCTCTTCTACACACTGCACCCATTTGGCCAGAGGTACTGAAGGCTCTTGCTGCACTCCGCACCGATATTCAAGTCCTTCTGTTCTGGGAAGAGCAGCTACACCTTGCTGCCACCCTCAGGACAGTGATTGTGGATCCTGGGAATGAGCTGGAGTGGACTCCCCCAGCCCTAAGTCGCTCCCACAAACATTTTGCAAGCTCGATGATTTCATTCAAACTTTTCAAACCTCTTTCATCAAATCTAGGATTTCACAAAGAAATGCACACACTACAGACACTGGATCAGGGATTTTCATCAGCAATACGAATTTTAAAGAATAAAAGTAAAATTTAAAAAACTGTAAAACTGTTCGTTAAGAGTTGATGCTTTTTTCTAATTATATTATTTGTCAATTTGAGGTAATTTTAAATATTTTAAAAATTATTTAACAGTCCAAAAATTCTAGTGTTTGTTTCCTCCACATTTCTTTGGTATTATTTTATATACCCAGAACTATAATTATGTAAACCAAACACAAAAATTGAGGCAATGTTTAGATTGAGCTGCCTTTTCAAAATGCATTTTTAAGTTATGTGATCAGATCCAGGACCTCATATTATGATTTTGATGTCTTCTTTATCTCTTCCCATGTGTGGCAGTTCTGTCTGACAATTCTTTCATGACCTTGGCACTTTGAAAATGTAGTGATGAAATTCTTTTTTTAGAGTGTGACATTTTTTACTGATTGCATTCAGATTACAATTTGTAGATCTGAACGTACAGAAAAAAAATTGTTAGTAATGTGCTATATCAGTAATCACAGAATATATATATATATATATATATATATATATATATATATTAGCATAGATATACAGCTACTGTCTCTTAGTTCAGTGAGAAGAAAGATTTGAACTAACAGTGTTTAGATGAGATATCCTGTCAGCATCTTGCACTATGAATAACTACTACAAAGACAACAATATGCAATGTATTAATTATTGTAACTATACTACTAACCTGTTTAAACTACCTCATTGCTACCTCTTTCTCAATCAAATTATTTTAAAAAAAGATAACAAATGAAAAAATGATTCTCTGGTGGTCGTTTACCACTTCAGTGGACATGTCTCACAAATAGAAAAAGAAGAATAAGATTGTTAAAGCATGGGTTTGCATATCAAAGAAAGTTTTTATCAAGTAAACTATTTGGATCAATGAATATAACTTTCTAGCACTTATAAATCTACAGAAATCAAATTAACAAATAAAAGGACTGACAGATTTTTAACTGGGGAAGTTGAAATTCTTCTGATTGTTTATTGGAGGTCATATAATTGAGACATGATTTCCAACTTTAAAGACCTGCTATAACATCTCAAGATATATAGAGCTGGCCAGATAGCTCATCAGATTAAAATGCCTGCTTAGGCAGACCAAAGGCCAGGATTTCTATCCCTAGCCTGCAGTGCTGGTCCCGTCCCCAGGGCTTGCTGAGACAGGGAAAGAGACTGGGCATAGTGACAGGACCCTGTATTCCCAATGCTTGGAAGGTTGAAAAACAGGAAGGATCACTACCAGCCTGATCTGTGTAGTGAGACTCTGAAGACCCTGTACTAAACATAGAAAAAAAAAACAAAGCCCCGTAGCTGACCTTGTCTTTCACAAAGCCAAACACCTTTGGAAGGAGAGCCCTGGAAACAACTGGTGCTGGAAAAACTGGCTTTGCATGTGCCAGAGACTAAAATGAGTTCC